TCCACTTTGAATTCAGAATTAATATGCATAAGACTATTATTATCATCTGCTAATCCAGAGTTGGTTAACCTTTGGTTATCCAGTTTTCTTGGATTGATACTAATATATTCCAATAGCAAGTGATTCTGATAACTAATAGGTCAAAACATTTAGAAGACCAAACTTTCACCAATCTTATATAGTTCTTTTCTTCTATTTTTCTCATGAAACTCCATCTTATTTCAGTTCTTTCCCTAACCTACCAACTTTCTCTTTTGTGGATGCCTTAGTTTGGATGGCTCATTCAATGGAAGGATGTTTCCTCCCTGATTAACATTTACCCATTTCATGCTTTTTCCATAGATTTTTAAAATAATATCCCCTACTTTTTTTAAAGTTTTCTCAGCATAAACATTCTCATTTTCTTCACTGTCTAGCCAATCCAGACAATCTGAATTAGCCAAATAACATTAGTATCATTCTGTGATTAGAATAAAGGATTCTTGTAGTTTTTTCCAGTGCTTCAATATATGTTCTTGATATTATATCACTCAAAAATAAATATATTGATTATGTAGGTCTGTGCATAAATAAACAAAGGGACCCTTTCATGCTACACATGTAAAGGCCCCTAGTCTCTGTCCTAGAGAATAGAGAACTGCAGGAGGACCAGGCAGGTGGAAGAAAGAGGAGGAAGAAAGAGGGCAACTAGCCATATCTGCCATCCCCCAACTATGATGAAGAAACTAAAGGAGGGAGGGAGGAAGGGAAAGGGAAAGGGAGGGGATGGACTAAAGGAGTGAGGACATGAGGGAAGGGAAGGAGGGAAACCTAAGGAGGCAAACAAACAACAATGGGAGGAATAATACAAGGAAGCAAACAGCTACCAGGCAGCAGCAGTAGTGGTGGGTGTTACTGACAGGAATGAATTGTAGTGACACCATAGCTAACATTGGTTGGCACTGCGCACACCTAGCCCCATCACCTAGTAAACCATATGATAGGAGACACCCCAAGAGAGACACAGGCAGGATCAAAGCATTAACAGAAAGGGAAGATGGGAGAAATAAAGGGACATCACACTTGCAAGATTAGCCAAGGGTATAAGAAAGATACCAAGACAAACGGCAGACATCCTTAGAAAGGCAAAGGGACATGGAATATGAGAAGCATGAGCCAAGGGAAGCTAGACATAGTAAAAATGGAAATGGAATGCATAAACACAGCAGTTCTGGTGGTGAGTGAGTTAAAATGGTCAGGAATAGACCACTTTAAATCAGATAACAGTGTTTTATTCAGGGAATGAAAAGACAAGAAGAAACAGGGTGGCTTTTGTACTAAGAAAAGGTGCAACAAAAGCAATTGGAGGTTGCAATGCAAAATCAGACCTATGAAGATCACCATAATTCAAGTATATGCACCAACTACAGTGGCAGAACAGGAAGAAACTGATAGATTCTATGAAGGAGTATAGGAAGAAGAAATTGACAGCACACCAACACAGGATGTCAAGCTGATTATTGAAGATTAGAATGCAAAAGTTGGAAGCAAAGAAAAAAAACAGTAGACAAATTTGGATTAGCCAAAAGAAATGAAGCAGGTGAGTGTCTGATAGATTTTTGTGAAGCCAACAACCTATTTATTGCAAACACATTTTTCATACAACCAGAAATAAGGCTATACACATGGACATCACCAGATGGTCAACACAAAAATCATAATTATAAAATTGGAAGTAAAAGATGGCGGAACTCTATACTGGTGGCCAAGACTAGACCAGGAGCCGACTGTAGCACAGATCATGAGTTACTCATATATATAAAAAAATAAGAGTAAGACTCAAGAAGAAAACAAAACCAGTGATTATACCAAAATATGATCTAAATAATATCTCAACAGAATTTATTGACAACACAAGAAACATATTCACACTACTAAGCATAATAGACCAAGAACCAGAGGAACTATGAGCCAAGGACATAATGAAAGAAGAAAGCTGACAAACACTTTCAATAAACAAAAAGAAAGAGAAAAAAACATGGATGACAGAAAAAAATACTAAAGCAATAAAGAAAAGATGAGAAGAAAAACAAAAGGGAGATAGGAACAAACTAAGAATTATGAATGCAAAAATACAATGGCTTGTGTGGAAAGAAAATTACTACAATGACCAATGCAGAGAAATAGAAGACAACAACAAAAAGAGAAGATCAAGAGATCTATTTCACAAAATCTGAGAAATCAAAGGAAAATTCAAACCAAGGACTGGGATGCTCTATGACAATAAAAGTAACATAATTCAAGACCATGAAGAAATACAAAGACATTGGATGCAATACAATAAAGAATTATACAAAAGAGTTGACAAAATGAAGGACACATGAAACGAGCCATATGAAGATGAACCCCAAATTCTAAAAAGGGAGGTGGAAACTGCAATAAGAGAAATAGCAAAAAATAAATCATCAAGAACAGACAATATTCCAATGGAATTGCTGCAATCTACATTGAAAAAGTCAATTTCAGTGCTGACCAACATATGTCAACAGATATGGAAAACAAAATGATGGCCAACAGATTGGAAGTGATCAATATACATCCGCATCCACAAAAAGGAAGACACAAGAGATTGCAGCAACTATAGTACCATAGCATTGATCTCCCACACAAGCAAAATTATGCTCAAATTTCTGCAACATAGACTCCAACCATACAAGCAGAGAGAAATCCCAGTGGTTCAAGCAGGGTTCAGGAAAGAAAGAGGCACTAGGGACTACATAGCAAACACATCAGGGAATTCCAAAAAAAAAAAAAAATCAGGATGTGCTTTATAGACTGTAGCAAAGTCTTTGACTGCATATCATGAAAGGCTATGGAATGCCTTTAAAGACATAGGAGTGCCAACACATCTGATAGTTTTGATAAGGTATCTGTACTCAGGAAAAGAGGTTACTGTCAGAACAGAACACAGGAAAACAGAATGGTTCCCAATTAGCAAATGAGTCAGACAAGGTTGCATACTTTCAAGGTTGCAGAACATATTATAAGAAAAGCAGGCTTGGACACAGAAGAAGGAGGAGTGAAAATAGAAAGGAATATCAAAATATAAGATATGAAGATGACACCATAATATTAGTAGAAAACCTC